AAACCTGCTGGAGGGTCAGCTGTGAGTTGGTTTCAACTTCGTGGCAAAGAGGTTTTTTGGAACAGCCATTGAAGCTAGCCATAAAGCTTTCAGATACATTCTTCTCTTTCTCTCTCTCTATATATATAAAATGAGTGATACTATTATCATATAATCATATAATTCTCATATATAAAGAATAGAAAATCTATTTGATAATAAAATGTATTTAGCATAATTCCTATCATTAATATAAAATATTAACTATATTTTATATGAGTAATATTCTTATATAATCCTTTGGAAAGGGATTTTGTAGATGAGGAGAAATGGTGGTCAGTAGAACACCCAACATTACGTTAGTAAACATTATTTTACTCAATATTTTTACCAACATTATTTTACTAAACCTATTGAGGTCTTAGACTCAGAACATGTTCTTCTTTTTCTATGAGGCAATGGAAGCATAGCAAGGGGAGGTCCACTTCCAGGCAGGTGTTGGTTTTAAGGCAGCCTGAGCTGCCCTTCTTCCCTGCTGGGGCTGAGATGAAGACCCACGGAAGGGACAGCATTTCTGTGTGTGCCAGATGAGGTAAAGCAGCCACTTCAGGGGTAGATGCACAGGACGCAGGGCACCTCAGAGATCTGCAGTAACCTTTTACATTCTCATCCCACGTGCAACCAGGATGCTTCTTGAAGCAAAGATGGTGAGCCTTCACCTCATGTTCTCAGAGCATGTTACCCGGAAAGGCCAGTTCTTAGGAAAGGACTCATACTTGGGGTTATAGAGGGTCAATAAAGGAAAAGAAGAGCTTCAGCAGGATGGATCGACACTGCAGCAGTGGGCTCAAACACAGCAGGCACAAAATTGGGAAGGGCTTTGTGCTTTTGTACACAGGGCCGCTGCATGAGTCCAAGCTAACTTGAACACCTAACATAACACCTCTGTGTTCTGCACTTTGTGCTCCGTTCTTGTTGTGCTTGCAGAGCTTTGTTAAAGCTCTGTCATATGGCAGGACCCAGATCCCCAAAACTAGTGAGAAATGCCACTGTGGGTGAATGAAAAGGAGCCCTGCTAACCCCAAGGTCAGTGTTGGAATCCCGCAGCCACTCTGTTGGAGAAAGTCGAGGCAGTCTGTTCCCATTGAGGCGTGCAGCCTAGGAAGCCTGGCAGAGGGTTACTGTGAGTCAGAATTGATTCAACCCAGTCGGTTTGGCTTTGGATAGGATATGGCATCAGCCATCAGTGGAAGGGGAGGGAGTAGAATCTCTTACAACATGCAGTTGAGTATATGAATAAATAGTTATTAATCATTATTTAAGTGCCACAGTTTGTTAAATCTTAATGCATCTTCTCTTCACTTCTTGATCGTTATCATCTGACATTTCACATTTATGACATTAGTATAATATCTGACTATTTTGCACTTTAGCCGTGTACATCTGTTAGCAGCAAATGGAAGCACGAGTAACCCTGGCTGAGATGGTTCCAGTTGTGTGTCAGCTGGGCTGGCCACCGATTCTCAGCGGGTTGACCATGATAGAATGATGTGATCTGATGTGGTCATCTCCTTTTTCGTATAATGCCAGTTTTTGCATAGAAACTCAGTTCTTTGAAACCAAATCTGTGATATATTCACACAATGGAATGCTGTGCTGCATTGAAAAGCAAGGAACTCATGAAATATTATACAAAATGGGTGACCCTGGAGGTCATTATGCTGAGTCAAATATCTCATCACAAAAGGACAAATACTGCATGGTGCCACTGTTGTAAAACAGGACTGACATCAGGTTGGGGGGGACCTAAGAAAAGAGGGGATAAGTAATGTATACTGCATTGAAACAAATGAGGGAGAGAATTGTTAAAAAGGAATATAGGATTAGGTATTAGTGTCATGACAAGATTACAGAAAAAGAAATGCATATTAAAGTGGACTGTGGACTAGGGGGCAATGGAAGAATTTTTTTTCTTCAAAGAGAAAAATTAACTGGGAGGAGGGGTGGGCAGGGAGAAAAATGTGCAACAATGAATGAATGGGGGAAAATTAAATGGAAAGAATATGCTGTAAAAGATACATGTTGCATTAAATGATCATTAATTAAAAAAAAATCCTACCAAAAACTTTTGATTATAAATTTAAAAGAAAATCCGTTTTCTATTTTATTTTGGTTTTGCTGTGTTGTTCTATTTTTTTTAAAAAGAGGAAACATTAAGGGAATAAATATGTACCTACATCTCAAGAAGGGAAATGCATTTATTAATTTACTTGACTACAAGTAAAATTGATTTTTTAAAAATACGTCACACACACAGATCAACCGAAACATTTCTAAGTTTTTTGTGATTCATAATAATCTTTATGTCAGAGTAGAACTCCCTCTTAGGGTTGTCAGTCTTCCTGGAAATCTCTCTCTGACTGAGTAGCAACCGTATCTGTGGACCTCACGTCATGCCTGCACAGGAATCAGATTGACTACATTTGTGGGAAGTGTTTTGGAGAATCTCAGTATCAGCAGTCAAAACAAGGCGAGGTGCTTATTGTGGAACAGGCCATTTATTGGTCATGTGCACGTTCAAATTGAAGCTGAAGAAAATGAAAACAAAGCCACAAGAACAAAAATCCGATCTTGAGTCTATCCCACCTGAATTTGAAAACTGTCTCAATAAATAACAGGTCTGAGGCATTGAGCACTAATGATTAAAAGCTAGGTTGAAGAGCAGTGGGATGGATCAAGGATATCATCCATAAAGAAAGCAAAAGGACAGTACAAGGGCAAAAGAAAAGATGAAAATGGGTATCACAAGAGACTGAGAATTACATGAGAACATGAGGATGTCAAAACAAAGGGGATGATTGCTGAAGTGAAGGCAAAACAGTATCATACAATACAATAGTACAAAGAGCTGGAGTCAGTGAAAAGGGAAGAACTCACTCAGCATTTCTCAAACTGAAAGAACTGAAGTACAAATTCAAGCCTTGAGTTGCAGGTACTGAAGGATGCCATGGGCAAAATCCTGAATGATCCAGGAAGCATGACAGAAGATGGAAGGAATCCACTGAGTCACTGTACCAAAAAGAATTGCCTGAATGGAACCATTTCAGGAAATGTAATCTCTATATACCACCCAATCCAACTTCCTTCCTAATGTCACAGAGAACATTCTGGACAATGGGAAACCCCTATTGGAGGTCCCCCAGCACCCCTTTTCACATGCCTGTTCCTGAGGCCTGTCCTTTTCCCCGAAGTCTCAGTAGCTTCCCTTCTTCCTGCATTTTCATAAAGGCAGTCTCCCCTTTCTCTCCTCTTTGCAGCATCTTTAGTCAGTGTCCTCTTGTATCTTTACCATTGGTATTATTTTCTTAAACATGCTCAAGTTGTTTCCAGCTTTAAACAACAAAAAAAGGCCTCCCCTCACCCGTGTTCCCTCCCACTCCAGCTCCTGCCCCGAATCTCCCCTTCACTTCTCAGTCACACTTCTGGAAACAGATAAAGGTTATATGTACTCCCCAGTGTCAGATTACCCAATCAGCAAGGTAAACACAGGCTTACTTTTGCTTATTTACTAATCCACAGTAAACAGTTTCACATGTTTTCACCACATCAAAGGTTTTGCTTCTGGGTATGGCTGGCATCTGTGCATCTCCCAACCCTGCAGCCCCTTCCCGCAGAATCCAGGCCTCTTCAGATTTATAGTCCCTCACGGGGACCTAGTGCCCAGCAAGCAAGATAAGTATAAGCTTACTTGTGCCTACTTATTAAGTTTACACAAGATTTTTACCACATCAAAGATGGCAGCTTTGTTCTCTGAACCTTCATCAAATCCTTTGGATAGTCTTTTGTGTGGTAAGCTATTTTCTAACCATCATTCTGTTCATTCATTCATTCATTCAACAAATGCTCTGAGTGTCTCCTGGGTTCCGGTACTCTTCTTGCTCCCAGGATATGATCATGATTTTTCCTCTTCTAGCACTGCTCACATTGTCATTTACTGATGGTCAATTAGTGCTCCCTAGTGCTGAGAGAGAGTGGCCTAGTCCATACACTGCTGTTCCAAATACCTGCCCCTCTGGAGGTTTGAATCCACCAGGAGCTTCGAGGGACAACTGTGGGCAGTCTTCTCCTGTGTGATTTAGAGCCTCGGAAATCAGGGAAGAGTCAGCTTTGAGTTCCTTCTGACTATGAACGAGAGAGTGCTGAGTAATTTCTACTGTTTACCGTTAGAGGAGTGTTAAGAAGGAATGCATGAGTTTGAGAATTTTTAGGAAGATATGCTTGCCATTCTACTTCTGAAAAGTCAGCCACACTCAACCTGACGGCAGCTGGTTTGGTTTTTCTTTCATTAGATTGTAAATAGAGTTAAGTGAAAGCATAGATTTCTTCAGTAAACATCAGCGTTCATATTTTTAAAGGTGGGTAAGATTGGTTCAAGTACTTCTTCACATACATTATTAGTTTATTTCTAAGAGGATGTTTGATGTTGTAGGGTTAGGCCTAATTAGTCATTAATTACACTTGGTGTACAAATACTGCAATTATTCCTGACTAGAAAATAAAATAATAGATGCAGTTAACTCTCACGGTTGGTTGTTGAGCTACCAATTCAGTTTTTAATACTGGCTGGTACCAAGATAATGTCTTCCCTAACATCCTCATCTTTTAGCCCTTTCATCTGTTACTCTATGTGCTTAAGGTAAAAAGAACACTTGAGCTAACAAAGAAACAGAAAAAGTATTAGCACCAAGATTTTAAGAAGATCCAGAAATACAAGTGTCTGTGTCCTAGTCCTCTACCATCTTGTCTTTTCATGTACAAACTCCTACTTAACAAATTACCACTTTTTGAAATTCATTGGAATGTCTTCATCTTAGTTGTCTTGTCAGCGAAAGTACTTAAAAGTAATGATTATTTTTTAATGCCAGTAAAGTTCCCTTTTTAAGTCTTTATTTGATGTTAAATTGTCCCCATTGCAGTGACTTAATAAAGTAATTTTTCCTCATGCTCTTTTGTGTCTCCAGCCCCTGCCAAAAAATATGGTGTCTCGTCTTTGTGAGTCTAAAAAAGTTTGTGCTGCAGCCGATATGCAGCTTCAGGTATGTATGGACCTTTGTTCTGGCGTTTTCCAGGATAATTATCCCAGATAAATATATAACTGCAGATTCTTGCCAGTGCTGCACATTTATTACAATAATTATGCTTTTGAAACATCTTTCATCTAAGTTCAAAGCACTTGACCAGAATTGACTCTTTCAGTACTTACAGTATCCTTACAAAGTGGATGTTAAGATTATTTCCCATTTTCAGTTGGGAAAATCAAAGCTCAGAAGAGCTACATGAGCTCTTCTAAATCACATATTTCATCAGCAAGCAAGTTAGGACTTGATCCTGCTTGCATACTTTCATCGTGTTTTTGTTTTGTTTTGTTTTTTTTATTTTGAAAATTTGTATGTAGATCTGAAATTTGAACAGAAATAGCCATTACTTTCAAGTCATTTTCAAAACCAATTTTCCAAGTTTCTAGATAAAGAATAGAGAAGTTTTATGAACCATCTGGATATCATTCTTGCATGATGGCAGATACTGAGGTATTTGTAATCACATTTTGTTTATGGAAAGCTTATTCTTTGTCAGATCTTTAGAGTTATGTAAACACATCCTAAACATCCATACTGGGGCAGTATTCGCTTTATATTGATGCATTTGCCTTTTTAAACATGGACCCACAAGTGAATTGATTTATGTTTTTTAGCTCAAACCCTAGAAAGTAATAAATCAGCACTATTTTGTTATACATTAAAAGGTATTTCAACAAAGAAAATGCATAATACAGACAAAAGCTTGACTTTATGTTTGATTTACATTAACTAATCTCTGTTTATGTCAGTATAATTAAAAGCAAGGAAACAACTTCAGTGATTTTGAACTATTTTTAAAAACTAATTTTACTGGGCAGAAGCCTTTGAATTGTCTAGTCTTTGGAGAAATCCTGCCCTCCTCCTTTTAAATATATATTTCATTACTGTATTCTGCCACTGGTCAGCAATTTTTCCCCCCTAAATGTGCTTAATATAAAATTAACAAAAACTTTGCCACCATCATGTTGCTCAAGCATCACTGTTAACTATTCTGAATTTGTGTTGTGGCTCTCTTTCTGAATACTTGTCTCACCAATTTTATTTTAAAATAGAAAATTGACATTTTCCCTCCTGACTCTCTCTAGAGAGCTCTGGTGGTCTAGTAGTAAGGAACTGTGCTGCCATCCCCAAACCACATGGTTCAGGTCCACCAGCTGCCACACAGGAGGAAGATGGGTAGTCTCCTGTGCAAGTTACAGCCACTGAAGCCCAGCGGAGGGTCAGGTATGAGTTGGTTCTAGCTATATGACACGTAACAACAACCCTCCAAAGGAACCACCTTTGAGAGAGAAGAGGGAGGAAGAGCCTGGCTGAGTAGCAGCCAGTGTCCTGCTCCTACATGGTGAGCTGTTCCCCTACTACAGTGGAGCCAAACAAGATTGGAAAGGAACGAACTTGTTTTCGAGTTCTAAGGAGAGCTTGACAGTGATTTTAAAAGTATGAACTGTAGACCCTCAGAGAGATGAATTAATAGAATGACTGCAACAGTAGGTCTAAATAAATAAGGCAGGAATCATGGACGATGCTGTAAGAATAGGACGAAGTTTAGATGTGTTGTTCATAGAATTGCTATGAATCATAATTGACAACAGCACGAACAATGATCATTATTAATGATTCTAATGTGCTTTACATGAGCTTATTTGTTATGTACTTTAAATCCCCTGTGGGTTTTTGTTGTTGTTGTTGTTATTTTTTACTTATTATTGAGACGTATTGCAAATAGGAAAGTCTGCTATTAGGGAACTCTCCAAAGTGCTGAAGAGCAATGGTGTCACTCTGGAGACCAAGGTGTGTCTGATACAGGCTATGGTCTTTGCAATCACTTGTTATGCATCAGAGAGTTGGACAATGACTAGGGAGGATAGAAGGAGAATTGATGCCTTTGAGCTATGGTGCTGGAGGAGTATTCAATGTACCATGGACTGCTAAGAAAACAAACAAATTCATCCTGGAGAGGGTTAAACCGGGATGCTCCTTGGAGGCAAGGATTCTGAGGCTTCGTCTGACATACTTTGGACATGTTGCAAGGAGGGACCATTCCTTGGAGAGGGACATCATGCTTGGGAGGGTGGAGGGACAGCACGAGGGGAAGGCCCTCTATGAGGTGGATTGATTCAGTGACTGGGGTAATCGGGGTGGGGGTGTCAGAGACAGTGAGATTGACACAGGACAGAGCAGGGTTTAGGGCTATTGTACATAGGGTTGCTATGAGTCGCAGGTGACTCAATGGAACATAACAACAACATTGAATTCTTGGCTATAATTTTTTTAACAGATGACTGGAATATAGAGGTCTGAAGTTTATATGCACATTGATAAAATAGACCTAAAATAAATTAAGAAATTATTAATATTAATAAAAGTATATACTGTTTTATGACATGCTGCTTCTCTGTGGCTGTAAGATTCCTGGTCCCAGGAATATAAGATGCCCTAAGTAGGTGAGGAGGCTCATCACTTTAGAATTGTTTGGCTTATCAGCAAATAAGCATGAAATCAATGCACATTTATTTTGCATTTTTATAATGGAAAAAAGTCATTGTGCATTTACATTGTTTGTGGAAAGCATAATTACAGAAATGCAACTCTCATGTTCTGATTTTGTTTACAGATAGGGACAAAAACAATTCAGTTGATGTTAGAATTGAAATGTTTTGATTTCTAATAATTTACTCTGGTAAAAATAGGACACGGATGAGTCCCTTTTGCTTCTCTGATTATCTTTATGCATTGTTATTCATTATAGAATATAGAGTTTAAAGAGCTATATTTAGCCATATGTTTAGATTACCAGTTAGAGTAAAGCAATATTTATATTTAGGAAATGTCAGTATTTTTTCTTCCTTGGGAGGTTTAAGCTTGAGTTTATAATTTAGAACCATAATTCTATATCTAGATTTAGCCAGAAGCTAGAGGTCATTTAAATTTTTTCTTTTATCCAAACTAATCTTCCCTTCTTTCAAGTCAACAGCTGCACATTCTCCACAAATTCCACTTCTAAATCAGAAAGCTAAGTATTGGAAACATATTTGTATATCCAGTGTTTTCTTTGAAGGAAAGCATTTCCACCTTACATTACATTACGTTCTCTCACATTAGTAGAAACCCAAACATTGTTAATATTCAAGTCAAATGTTTGAGTGAAGACTGCACTTTCACTAGGCTTTAGCTTTCCTATGCAAAATGCCATTGTTAACACTTCAGAATTCATGCCCAAACTTCACTTAATACTTTCTTCTCCTGTTACACATTTGTGACCTGCATCCCGGATTCTGAGGTGGCCATTGATCTGAGCTAGGATCACCCCACTCGGCAGCTGCTTCCTTAATGCTTCTAAGACCAGGTGCCAAAGTCTGGCTTGGCTCTACCTCCAGGCCCAACAGCTGCATCAGAATTCTTCACAGCATCTGTACTGGCCAGATGCTGGGTCAGACTCCTGCCCCTTTCCCCTCACCCCACCTACACGAAGCTCTCTCACTTCTCACAAAGCTAGAATTCTGACCATTTTCTTTCTCTCACTGAAGACAGTTCAGGATTCCAAAAAGTAATCAAGCAAGATTTGCTAGATTCCAGGGCGGGGGTCACAGGTTACAGCTCATGATATTGTCACATTTCTATCCACATACAGCTTGGCAAAATCCCAGCGTCATGGTTACAGACCAAGTTTATGACTCAAGTTCAGAATTCTTCAGTATCCTTAGTCATGAAAGGTTGAGAGCATTCCTTCTCCTGCTCAGTCATGCAGTCTTAAATGTGGTCTGGATTATGCCTCAAACCATGTACATTTATATCTGTGGATATTTTTGAGTGATTTGTAATGATTATTCTGGTGTATTTACAACATCTTTGGTCTCCCATGTGTTGCCTCTGAGGGTGCAATACCAGAACTAAGTGGTTGTTTTCATTGTCCAGGTCTTTTATGCTACTCTGGATCAAATCTATCACGGGCAGCATCCCCTGAGGAGGTCAACCACAGACATTCTTAAGGAAACACAGGAGAAGTTTTACGGCCTGCCCTACGTCCCCAATACCGTGAGTCTTGCTCCTCAGGCCGCTGTGGGTGGGGTGGTCAGCAAGAGTGGGCTCAAGCCAGCATGTCCTCGTGTCCTTGAAGAGCTTGAAATCCTCTCATCCAGGGAGAGGTTTACAATGTGGGGCAAGTGCTAGCGAATCCCCGCTTCACTTACTGTCGCCACACAGCTGTTTACATGTTTATTTTCTTCTTGCTGGGTGTGTTTTTCTAAATGTCTGGGAAAAGAGGTAATGTAAAAGGGCCTTTGAAGTTAGTGTTTATGTCCTTCTTTTTCATTCTTTTTTCTGTAATGTGGAAATGAAGGAATTCTCATTCCCTGATGGTTTTTACTGCTGTGAGCATGTTTTGAGCACTCTACTGCCTGTGTGGCCTGTAGGAAGTAGTGCTCCTGGCCTAATGGCAGCGCCCCTTTCTCCATTCTAATTCACCAGCAGCTCCCCAGGAGAAAGAGGACTAGTCTTCTCTCATGCAGCTTGCAGCCTCCAGAAGCCAGCTAGAGTCAGCTCTGAATGAATTGGTTCTAGCTCAGTGACATTGTGCTTTTTGAGAGTTTCATGCGTGTCAATGATTGTCTGACCTCATTTGATGACTTCAGGATAGAGAGCAGCACGTTGTTAGCATTTATAGATGCCAGAAAATCTGTGATTGCTTCACAAAAAAGGTCTCGTAAAACAACCCTCTCAGTCAAGTAGTATCTCAGTCTTTGGGGCTGAGATTGAGACTCAGGGACCTAAGTACTTGAATACAAGCAGAAAGGCTGACGGTTCAAACCCAGGCAGAAGAAAGGTTTGTGATCTTCTGAAAGCCACAGTCTTGGACACCCTAGTGCCGCTCCAGTTTTTACACATGGGCTTTCTGTATAAAATGGCAGCTAACAACAACTGAAATTGTTTAGGTAGTCAGTGGTTGTGTTGAGACCCAACAGCTCTAAGAGACATGGTTTGTTGGGTATAATGAAAAGTGCAGTAGTGAAGAGACAAAATACAGCGGTAAAACAGAATCAAGAGGCAAAAACCATACTGAGCACATTATAATGTAATCTTGGTGCCATTACAGACCTAGAGGAAAACCCCAGGTGAGGTGGGTTGACACAGTGGCTGGGCTGATGGGGCTAAGTGTGTCGGAGACAGTGAGATTGGCTTAGGACAGAGCAGGGCTCAGAGCTACTGTACATATTGTTATGAGTTGCACATGACTTGACAGCACATTACAACATATTAAAAATTAGTTATCTAAAAAAATATTTTTAAAAAGTTAGTTATCTATGTGGATAAATGGAAAGTGAATCAGTATCTTACCAATCATACAAAATAGGAAAGTGGACTAAAGATTCAAATGTAAAGATGAGAACTTTAATTTTTAGAAAATAATACAAATGAGTACCTTTATGATAACATAGTCCTTTCATACTCACAAATAGAATATAAAAAGTATTAACTATAAAGTCAGACTAGTAAATGTAGTAACATTAGTAAATTTTGCTTATCTAAAAAATGGGTGAAAAATAAAATTAAACATGTTAATATGATTAAGGCTGTAGAAAAGAATTCTTTGTCTATATGAGCACTTGTCCAAGTGGGTAAAGTTTCTCAGCCACTATATTTGAGAAATAGTACACCAGTCCATTGTGATATGTCTATTTCTCATTCAGTGTTTTCTATTTCACACTCTCTTATTAGAACAAACAGCTGAGAAGGTACTGAATTTAAAAGCAATATTAATATATTAATGTAATTCTGTTATTTGTATTTGATAGAAAATATGGATGAAACTCTGATGATGTGTAAGGTTAAATATACTGACTAAAACGTTGATGGTTCGAATCCACCAGCCATTCTGTGAGAGATAGACTGGGCAGTCTCCTATAATGTTCAGTTTTGAAACCCATTGGAAGGTTGCCATGAGATGTGACTACTGTGGTGGTGATAGTCGCTTGTCTAGTATTTTTAAGTACCTGCTCTGTGTCAGACACTGTCTTGGTGATAGAGATTTGAAAGTGTCTAACAGACAAAAATCGTTATGCTCATGAAGCCCATCTTGATGATGGCTTGACTAGAGATATGTATACTTTAGCTAATTTTTCAGTACACCAGTCCTGGAAACATTTCATTGTTAGGCACATATTATCTGAGCCCCTCCCAGATGAACTGAATACATGAACTGTTAACGAAAGCCAAAAGCAGATGATGTGAACCTAGAAGTGCCAAGAAGACATTGTGATGCCATGTAATAAGCCTGTAGAAAGAGCATGTTGAGACTCTCATCTGATTTCTACCTCAGGGAATCTTACCTGAAATCGCTCAACTCGGCTCATTGCCATCAAGGTGGGACCAACTCACAGCTGACCCATTTAGTGGGTCCATAAGGTGATAAATCAGAAATTAAGAGATTGCCCGTCTTTCTAACTTAAAGCTGCTGGTAAATTTAAGCCACCCTCCGGTGGTGCAGCCTTTGGGTTAGGAGCACCGCACCATGTGGACTAAGTCACATGGACTAAGTCACAGTAGAAGAGGGACATTGTGCATCCCTGGGCCCCTGTGTTGCATCTCATCCTTGCTGGTGTGACATTCTGAAGCTGTTCATTCCGCATTCGCTGTGATGCACTTTGGGAGATTAAAGAAGGGGGAGCTGGAGAAATAGGATAGAAAAGTGGCTAAGCAGCTCAGGTAGACCATCAGCACTGGACCCACCCCATTAACTAGCATCAGCCTCAGCTAGTTAATAGGGTGGGAAGTGGTGATAAGAAGAGGGAGGAGTAAGGAATGACACTAGGTTTAAACCCCGCTGTTGGGTTGGTTAGAGATGCTATCCAGTGACTCCTGGGAAAGAGAGCCTGCAGTGTTAGTGAAGGGGAGGGTGACTGGCAGCAAAAGTGATGAGTTTGCTGGAGATGGAAATGCCATAGAGGAGCTGTTGGTGAATTAGTGTGACCGTGAGAAAGATGAGCAGGGGGTCGAGGGCACAGGGGAGCCAATGACTGGTAGCAAGCAGAGAGGGTTTGTGGAGTGTGACGAGGGGAAATCCAGTCCAAGTCAGAGAACGCGAGGAGAGGCGTCTGTCAGAGGCAGACTTGATCCTGCCCTATGGTTGGCGATGCGCTAATTAGAACATTTTTTTCAAGTACCAGCAAAAAGCAAAATTTCAGAGGTATCATTTTCATTTCTGTTTCTGCTGCTACAATCACAACAGTATAATGTTCTGCTCTCTTCTGTTACTTTGAGGTTACACTGTGTGGTAACATGGAATGTAACCATCATTTATAGACCATTTCTTTTGGACTAGTGTTCTGAGTTCCTGACAATAGACTAATAAATTAACTTCTAGAATATAACTTACATGTCATTTGAGGGCTTCCTATGTTGAAATCGTTCCATTTTTCAGAGCAGCGTTTTGGGCTGGCATCGCTGTAGTCATGTTTTTATGTGCAGAGGGAGAGAATCGCTTGTTTACCAGCTGGGAGATGGAGTGTAACCACGGTGGTCACCCAGTTGTTGATGTAGTGCGCTCATCCCAGATCAGCTTTCAAACAGACCTCTGTCTTAACCACAGGGCAGGATGGGAGATGAAATAAATATAATGAAAGAGTTCGGAGAGCTCTGGAGTATCCCGTGACCGCACTGACTTTACTGCTGGGGCTTTGCCTTCATTTCGTAATGGCCCAGGAGCCCCCACCATGAGAAAATGGCACTGCCGCACACAAGTGTGGCTGTTAAGGCTTTCACATACTACCATGAAGTTTACTTTCGCTCCTGATCCCTTTTTTGTTAATTTTAAGAACTTTCTTTAATATGTAAGAGAGTATCACCCCATTGCCATCCATCCAGCTCTGACTCTGAATGACCTTCTGATGGATTTCTGGAGCTGTGAATCTTTATGGGAGGGACTGTGTGTCTTCTCTCTTGGAGTGATTGATAGATACCAACTACAGACCTTTAACCAGGGTTGACTGGTTAGCAACCCTAATACTTTATGGCACTGTGCCACTTAGGCTCCTTGTGAGTGTATGAGTTGTGTACAGTTAGTCAGAACCAACTTATTGCTGGCCCGCCAGTGGCAGTTAATAGAGGCAGTTAATCACACAGGAGATGATTGCCCATCCTTCTCCCACAGAGCAACTGGTAGCCTCGAACCACGTGCCTTCAGGGTTGCAGCGCAACTTCTTGCTACTAGGCCACTAGAGCTCCCTTAAGAGCGTGTAGATGGCAGGTATCTCGGATTCAAACAGATTAAAATGCATATCTTTATATTGTTAAATTTAATGTATTTTCTAAAGCTTTTTATTTGAGATGTTAAGATTTTAATTTTGTGTCCTCTCCATATCCATAAAGGAAGCACTGATGGCTTGTTGGTAAGGAGCTATACTGCCAAACCAAAGATACATGGTTTAAACCCACTATCTGAACAGTCACATTAAGACAGACTAGGAAGAAGGATTGGCCATCCACTTCTGAAATAGCAGGCCTCTGAAAACCCTATATACAACAGAACACATTTAGATAACAGAAACGGCAAAGGAGGTTGAGTTTTCAAGTATGGAAATACAAAGGAAGAGGAACAGTTGTAAGCAGACACTGGTGA